GTTTCCTACCTTGCACCCATGGATTCATGACCCTGAATTGGATAAAAAGGTCAGAAAATGGAGGGATGGGTAATTGCAGTATTGTGTATGTAATTTAGCCATACACTGCAAGCTCAAAAGGTGTACATTTTGACCTCTCCTTAAAAAAGAGTAGGCACACATTTTGTGCTTTTGGCTTAGTAATTAACAGTTGCCCTCAACTACTCTAAATTGAGGGTCCAGATGGTATTTTTATGAGACAAATGCCAGAAACTTGAATTGAATATTTTATTTGTAGTCCATAACTGAGGAGCTGTTATCACACTGCACTGATCTTTTTTTGTAGAAGAGGAAGGAAAATTTGAAAGAACATTCCAACTCTGACTCTGGAAAAAGTCGCGTGGAAAAACAAAAGGAACAAAACAGAACAAGATTCAAAACTCTAGAAGAGAGGATTTTACTTTTCACAGATCTTTTTTTTCTTGTGCTGAATTTTGAAAATGCCTAAACTCGGCCATCAAACACTAAATTATTAATGCAATTCATCTGGTCCATGTCATCTCTTACTAGGAGCAATGTGTGCTTTCGAGCTGTAGCCAAATCCACCTCTGGGCACAGTTAGAAGTCTGGCAAAAAGGGTACGTGTTGGAGCATTTCTTCAAGGCATCCAACATTACAATCTGTGTCATCTATGGCAGCCGTAACCATGCTGACATCCAGAAAAATGTGCTTAACAACAAATTCAGTGTCAAACGAAAGGTTTGTGAGTTCACAATAGAACAAAATTAACACAGAACAAAGCACAAACTTTTAAAATGTACATCAGAATTTGTGGTTTCTGTGTAGCTTTAAAATAGCCAACTATCCTTGAGCTGAGCAGCACCTTAAAGCATTCCTGAACATACAAATATTCATCAAAGGCTGGTTGCCATGCACACTAGATAGGTAATTATAATTTGAAACAGAATTTGAAATTTGAGATTCACAGAAGTCTCCAACCTGACTTTATGTAATGATGTGTGCGAGAATCAAACATAAAGACAGTACAGAAAGTCTTTAATTCCCATTTTATTTTTTCCTGTTTCTAATTTTATGTAAAGCAGTAGTTAATCCAGCCTGTCAGTCCTTGTTGGTAGTGGCCATTAATTGAAGGAAATGTAAAAACAAATCCTAGGATCAACAATAATTCTGTATTCAGGCAAAACCATTGTGTTAAATTGGTTTAAAATTGCTATTATTTAGTTTTCATGGTCACGCAGCAGTTTTAAGAGGGACCTCTTGTACTGAATCAGAATTCCTGTTGTGAAAATTGCACACTGAAAACATGAAAACATGCATCATTTAATATCTGAACCAGTGTCCTTATTCTCAGAGAAAATGTGATATGCATTATCTTTAAAGTTGTTGGCTTTATTTGGGATTATTTTGCTTTAGATTTGTAGCTTTTTTTTGTATTTTATTATTTCCTACCTTATTATTTAATTATTTTTTTCTGATCATTCATCTGTAACATTAAGGGTTCAAAGAATAAAAAATTAAATTTAAAACGAATCACCATTATGATTTTCATCCTATAGTACCTGTATGTGGACTTCACTTGACCTATGACTCAAACTGCTTGACAGTTGCATCTCTTCAAAGGCTAATATTCTGGAAACACTGGTCACCTATACCAATAAAGTCAATTGATTAAATTAGGTCATTAATTTGCACAGGACACTAAAAGGCCTTGTAGCTGTGTAGGACAAGAGATGTGTATCACTGTACAAGACAGGAAGACAGGCATCAGTAAAAGAACAGCTTATTTCCCCCTCGCTTTTTATAATGTTTGAGCTCACGGCTTTGCCTTCTTCCTTTGTACTATTCTGTTGTATGCCTTTAACAGAAATCAACTTGCTTGGATTTTGAGTCTCAGCTGCCAGGGACAATAGAGGCACAGGCACTGTGATTTAGATCAGAATGCCACCCTGTGGATGGCATATACAGTACCACACAGTTTGCAAAATAAATATAAAATTATAGAGGTTTATATGGATTTTAAATCAATGAGTGGAAAATACTGTAATATGATAAAATGTAATTTTTGTAAGAAAAAGTAAAAAAAAAAAAAAAACAGATCAGAAGGTACACTTCCTGTAACATAATGTAACATAATGTACTTCATATAAAGAAAATAACATTTGATTTTTTTTAATGATACAAAAAATTGAAAGAAACATTCAAGCAGCTGATACTTTGTACTTGAAACACCACGTTTGCATTGTACAGTAGGAGAATCTGGAAGGTATTGAAATGTTTCCTTCTGACACATCTGAGACATTTCCTTTATTTTCATAACTTGTGAAAATGAATGCATGTTTTGACTTTTCGGATTGTGATTTTAGATTAATCATAATAGATAAATAAATCCTTTGAAGCTGCTTATTTAAAGAAGCAGACTTCAAGCCAGTATTAAAACAAACAGCAGACCCATCCCAAAGCCTCTCAGTCAGTCTTTCGCTGCAGGATGTAAAAAATATGAACAAGTAATTCAGGATGTGAAAATAAACCAGTTAAGTGAGACTTAAGAAATGATCAACATTTCTAGATCACTATAAGACCTTTTGTCTTTCAACATGCATTCAATTATTCAGTTATTTTTTGTGTATGGGTCATTCTGCTTGACCATGCAAAGGAACAAAACACAATAGTATTTAAACAGATGGAATGTGGTAATATCCTAAATTTCTGAAAAATTTCCACCCTATACAGAGCCATGACCATGTTCCTCCACCTATTGTTCTAGCTTGGCAACAGTGAATGCCGCAACATCTTTAAAAAGAAGAGGTTGTGCTCAGTAGAATGAGTCAGTGCAAATTGTATGATAAAGCTAAGAATTTTACCATAAATCTAATTATTTTTTCATACGGTTTGCATTAAGACTTTAAAATTGCATTGAGTTTGCAGTAACAAGAATTCATACTGATCAGTCTGTTCTAACAAGGAATGAAAAGTTCTGCAAAACATCCTTTGAATTAAATTGGTGTTAGTAATGAATATGTAATTATTCTGAAAATAGTCTTGTCTAAATCTGCTTATCAAGAAATCAGTACTGTCTGTCCAGCTACAGTACAGTATGTCTATGTCTCTTTGAGTTTTATGCTGTATATAATGAATATGTAAGCATGTGTGCTATTAAAATATGGTTAATTAAAGAGGCAAAAGACAATCAACACAAATAATTGTTTTCTTAATATTAATTTGTACTTACAGTATTTAATGAAATTCCTTTTTGTGACTGAATCACCATCCGTTATATAATTCTATGTCAGCCTGCTCTTACTGTGGAAACCAGTAATGGAAAAGGTGAGTATCTGCACATGATGAAATATTCAAAAGGCCTCTGAATCAGAAAATTAGACATAAAGTAGCCTAACCAGGTCTCTCAAATCAGGATCAGTGAGTTTGAGTCACATTTATCTGAACATATCAGTGATTAAATTGACTAATCTATACTTCTTGTACAGTATGTGTCAGAATGAAGTTAAGATGAATTAACTAATACAGAAAATAAATTCGAAGGGAAAAACAGATTTTTTGGTTCAAGCAATTGCACAGAACAAATTGATGCTGGCATACTGTCATATTCCTTTTGATGGGATTATCCCATTGCTATACCTCTCAGATATGGAAATTTAGCCACCAATCAGAGATTTACAAATGTCAAGGTTTACAGAACTCAAGACTACTTCCAAAACACGGTGGCTCTAATATGACCTATTATTGCATAAAATTTAACTCCTTGGATTTCAAGATGAGAAAAAGAATGAATGATATCATTTCGGAATTCTGACACTAAAAAAAACATATGATCAGGGACCAGAAATATCAGGCTTTCATCTTTTCTTCCCAGATGTAATAAGACCACTTAATTTACATTCCTATGTCTGATAATTACTCAGTCTCACTTATTTACCCCTTAAACATATTTGCTTTTTTACAAAGATGAACAGCTTTACTGTACATACAGTACATGTCAGTTAAATGTACTGTATCTTTTAACATTTCAGTTTGGCATTCGGCACAAATCCGTAGAATGCAATCAATCTGGAAGAGCACAGGGGAGCTAGCGAGAAGTGAAATGATGCATTAGTAAAGGTCTTTTCTCATCTTAAAACTCAGGTACAGATGGAGCACGACACTGCTCTGTTGTATCATGTTAAATTAACTGTCCCATTCATACTTCAAACCTACAAGGATTTCACACAATGAGAAGGTTTTACCTTACCACAGAAAGTGTATTCGCTTTTGCCAATTTTAAGGAATTGACTTTTTACCTAAAATATGCATAAAGCATATTACAGTTTATGCATAATACTGTATAATCATGAAGTCCGCGCATGCTGATTAGGATCATCCTTACAAAACCGTATAGGAAAGTGTAGCGGCTGTTTGGTTGTGTTACTGTAGGTAAAAACAACGAAATATTTTTTTTTCCTACAAGTAAATGCTAATTTGGACTCGCACGTACTTTTAAGAAAAGGATGTTTTTTTTTTATCAGATGTGCGTCGCTTAAATTAGCGATGCAGAGAAGTAAGCCTTTATTGCTCCTGTTAACACCAGTAAATCCTCCTAACACACCAAGAAGGAAGTTTCGAAAACTGGCCCAGTGTTGACATTACTAAACTATTTTAGTTGTAGTGTAGATAACATGTCATCTTTTACGGGAAGCAGAAAATATCACTTGTTTATACAGCAACTGTCGCTGGAATGCGATAATTTATGCGTAGTTCAATTGTGTTTTCCATATGAATGGACTTCTAGCACACTAGACAAATTTGAAGTTGCTACGTTTCTCAGACATTAGAGATGAGGGTTGGCTGTACAGCGTCTTCTAATACCGAGAACTAAAAGAATCAGTTTGCGAGGCTTAACACCCATCATCCTGTGTGTCTTTAAGTGGGATTCTCCCAGACTATACGGTAGGAGGGGTTGAAGTGACGCTGGCCAGCTCTGTGGTGCTGAGCGAACAGCGCTGTTCACCTGCAGTTGAGATCAGGAGGATCCGGGACGGTCTTCACCAGAGAACAGCTTTGCATTGCAAACGGAGCACTGTGGGGACATCCTAGAAGAAACACCGGGGAAATAATAAAAAGCACAGAATCCAAGCTGAAACTGCTGCTTCTGCTTGCTCGCAACCATGAAAATTGGCTTCGTTATATCGCTGACGGGCGCCTTACTGTTGGGCACATCTTGGGTAAGATGTTAATTTATTTTTTTTTAACACTGGGGAAGTACTGTACTGCACTGTTTGCTTTACTGTGTAACGGTTCACAGCCGACAGATTATGCCGGTAATCAACAACTTGATGAGGAGGGAGAATCTTTTCCTTTGAGTGCTGTCTTTTGTACCATAAAGTATGTTTTGTTTTAAAGCTTGATGTACTGATTTTTATCTATCAAAGCTACAAAATTATATCAAAACATTATGTTGTAATAGCACACTGTATATTGTATGTGTATATATTTCCTTAAGAAAATCAAAGTCTATTATGCACGCATTGTATCATGGAATAAATCTGGAAATTTATCCATGAAATCAGCAGTTATCGCACTGATTTTTTTCTTACTACTATGACTGAATGGCTGTAGTGTGTTTGCAGCAGTGCACTTCAGACAGTGCGGATTATGCATATAAGGGGAACCACTGCTTTCTCTCAATGTATGTTAAAACATGAATTTCACATCCCGTTGTCGATGCCGAAGAGGGAGCTTTCTGCTTTTGCATTTGCGCTCATCTGAAACAGTTTACTCTTGAAATCTTAGAAATGCATTGTCGCCATGGTCCCCATCATAAAGAGTAGTGCCTCTGTGCCGCATGTAACCAATTACCTTTACTTGCTTATCTTGGATTTCAAAGAAAAATGCGTTGAAATGGAAAACTTGCCTAGAGCAAGATCGGGATTTTTTCCCCCTCTAGTTTTAGATATAAAACATCTCTGGACGGAGATATTTAAAACTTTCACGCCTTTTCATGTTGCATTGCTGCGTTGTAAAACCTTTGCCTCCTGAATAAACTTAGTATGTTCAGACGCCACATACTGTATCTTCACTATTGTAGCGCACTCCTTTGTTGAGATTAATGCTTCCTCCTAAACTAGTTATAATGTGTTACACACGTTTTTCATTTGCGTGTGGTATAAATTGCCAACGCACATTAATAAAAAAAAGCCCTCACTCTCTAGTAAACCTCGTTATCAAGTTTACAGTTCTTATATCAATGGTGTTTTTGTAAGTTGTGGGGAGTTCGAGGTAGTAAGGGTAAATACAAAAATATTTTAGAATATGATTCGGTGATTTTTCCGTTGACCATGTAGGGAGGAAAGTATGTAATAAGGAATAAACATCTTTGGCAAGATAGAGGTTATTGCTATTTGTGTTGAAAACCATTTTCTTGTAACTGTAGTTTTGTCTCTCCATTTGTGAAAGTATGAATCTGGGATGCCATATGGAGTAACTCATTGTTAAGCAGCCGGACTTGAGGATTTATTGTATGTTTTCGTTATTTTAATGTTTTTATTTCTTCTTTTGTAAATTACACATTTTAGAGAATAAAATACAGACATGAAATAGCTTTAAAAAACATGAAAACGTGTTTTTTTTTTTACTAATTACACCAGACCTGTCTTGTTTACCGTTAACAACAAATACAATAAATGACATGAATTAATAGAGTTCCTCTCTTTTTAGCAGAACGGTGGGGGCACTATTTCTGAGAAGTATTGCAGACAAGGTTATTATAGTTCTAAATCGGAACATTGGATTCCAGGATTCAGAGGTTAAAAGCGGACATATTTGCCAGATTTAGTCTTTTTTTTCTACAAATTGAGTAGTCTTTGGTCTGGTAACACGATACTGCTTCTCAGAGAGTGTTGAGATGTCAAGAGATCCCAGTTCACCAGGGGATGTAAAAGTTGAAAACAGCTGCTGGATTTCAAACATAATGGACGGAGACATACATTCTACATATTTTACCCCTTTGTTTCTGTTTTAATGCCTATATAAGGTATCTGCTTAGTCTGGCTTCACAAGAAGCCCTGTATTGTATTACACAGCACTAGAAGCCCGGATTAAACTAAAGTATATAAAACAAGTTTTAATTAACTGTAGTTGTGTGTTAATTTTAAAACAAATTTGATGATATACTGTAAAAATATTGTACTTGTCACATTTTAGAAAAATGATTCAGAACATTCTATTGTACTAGTAATCACTATGCATTAATTGTGAGACAAAAGATGAATATTTACTTATGTTTGTAGGTTACCTCTGTGGGTAAAGATGTTGCTGCTGCTGAACCATATTTACAGTATACATGTATGGCTTGAACGGTGGAATATACAGTACTATAATATTATAAAATGTAAAAATACTAAGAACAGTACAGTACTTTCATCCATTTTGGGGCAACTAACCCTGTACGATTTTGATTTTAAGATTTGAGTTTGAATTAAATGCATGTTTTTCTTTTATTAGGGGAATTATGGAGACCATACAAGTAAACGGCCTTGCAGACCTGGATTTTCAGAAAGTTTTTATACAGTGTTTGTTTCAAGGGATATACTAGAAGGTCAAAGCATTCTCAAAGGTAAGCATGATTTTTGCTTGGAAGAAAACTGTTGTCTTTAACTGGATAAAATAATTCAAGCTTTACGTCTGCAGCTGTTCTCTAAGATGTCATACTGTATTCATCCATGTACAGTACACACATGTACAGTATACCATTTGTGTGCATAGTGCCATTCTGGCCATTTTAGTGCCAGAAGGTCAGTGTTCTTAGTATCTTGTAATAAAATATAAAGGAGGAACACTCACTAGAGAATTGTGTGAATTCCGCTTTCATATAGAAAATTTGTGTGGATTTAAAATCATGATATTCTTATGATCAGATGTGTTACCCATTGTGCTACAGGCAATGACAATGTTAAAATGTGTAGAATCAGTTTTGGTAGAATGATGAATGCATCATAACGATCCCCCTAAAGGGATACTTGAGTAAAAATACGCTCAGGATTCACAGCTAATGTGCAGTTGGTGTTGGCTGCATTTTGCAGTGTAGGTCACAGAAGATGTTGATATTCTTTTGTCAGTGACATTAAGATAAGGGTTTCATTTCTACATGTTCTGTTGGGTATGTGTTCTTATGCATATCAACCTATCTGGTAGATTGCCCATTGCATGAATCAGAATGGTGCATCTGTCAGTGTTTTTTAAGTTGTAATAAACTTTAATTTTAATGCTGTAAATGTATAAATCAGCTAGAAGTTTTCCAAGTGACAGCAGTTTGCTTAATACTGTGTATATTTAGATCAACATTTTTTTCCTTTCTGTGAGTGTTAAAAAATTATTTAATTTCAGAATTCCATGTTGGCTACAGGATCTCTCTGTAGTGGGAATGGATCAAGACTAGAGAAAAACTAAAAAAACGCAGGCTATGTTATCCATTAGGCTTGCATGTCTGTTTTCTTCTGTTCAATCAATTTTCAGTGCTGTACACCTGTGCAATGTGGCTTTTGCCCAGTAGAAATACCTTTATATCTATTATTTCTTATTTCTGTGCTGTTTTTTTTCTTTGAGCCCTTTCGTCAAACTCACACATCATTCTGTGTCAACATTTTAGCAAGTGGAGTTGCTATCTTAGCAGTCTGCAGGTAGTTAAGCAGGAGCTTGTTGTTTAATTGTTTTGTTAAAGGCCACATCTTCCATTAAGCTCATGTTTAAACAATTAACAGACTAACAAAATATAATACGTTCTGTCTTCCAGTTTCAAATCTTGACAGTGGAATGAATCAGAGGTGATATTCTTCTTTACATCCTGCTCACATGGCAGTGTTTATGTGACTGCATTTGCAGGATGTGTCACTGCTTCATTGCCATTTTATTTAATGTGTGTGCTATTTGAACAAAGCAGTGGGGTGCTTTCCCCAGAATTTCTAAGACAGACAAAGCACATTTAAATAAAGAAATAATAAAAAGACTCCCTTCTTGGCTATATGACTGCGTTGGTGCTGTCATCTGACCGTTTGTGTGTTTTTATGCTCTTAGTCAGAAAGTGTCTGAACTTGGCAGCAAGAACTCATGAGGCCATTCTAAAACTGTGCTGGAAAGGAAAGGGTTAATATTAAGGAAGTGAGATTCATCTTTTTTTTGTCATGTGAAAATAAGGGATAATTTTATCAGGTTCTGCAAGAATTCCTGTTGACAGGAAAATTTACCTCTCTGTGAGAAAATAAAAGCTGACATGGTAGGGGGGGAAGGCAGCAATTTGTCAGTCATAGAGGATAGTGTATTTATAGGGAAATCAGTGTTACACGGGGAAAAAAGTAGTTATTGGAAAGTGTGAGCTCAGTGTTCCAGAATTCATGACTGGAACCAAAGTAATAAGGATACAATATTAATTAATAAAGTTGTCTTCTATAATTTCCAGAATAATCTTTCATAATATAGGAAATATATTTAATAGCCTGAGTAATTCACTTTAATAAAATTTAGATCATTAGAAGGTTTTAACTCTTCTCTGCAATCAGAGAATGGTTTCACTCAGTGAATTTTCAAAATAACCTTGGAATGTAATAATGTTCTGAGCTATCTGGATGTTTGCATTGCTTTCCTTAGTTTTATTCATTCATCATCTTTTAAACTGCACACAGAAAAAGTTCTCTAGAGTATAAGAAGCTGGTGAGTTGTGTTTACTTTGCTCTAGATAGCTTTAAAATAAGATCTAAAATAAGTTGCCATTTTCTGTGAACCAACTTTGGAATAAGAGCCAAAAGCGTAAAAAATCTAATTGACATTCAGCTTCCAATTTAGTACTGTGCTTGCCAATAGATGCTAATTTGAATCCTGTATTGATCTGTATTGTTTTTCAGCAACTGTTTTCCTGTGTTGCTCAGTTTTACTCATATACATGCTCATTGTCGATCATCCTAATTCTGGTCTACAATTTATTAATTTATCTATATATGTAATTGGGTTAACTATTATGGTAGCAATTTCCATAACATGTCATAGTTTGTGGTTACAAACAATAATTTGAATCAATCAGTTGATACATTATAAAAAATGAACCTTTTCTGTTTCTAGTCTAATCTTGAATATCATTTAAATATTAATTGCAATTTGTAAATGTATACTTTACTCTGCAACGTACCGATTCAACCAATAAAGCCTGTTTTCTGTTGAAGTCATACAAGCTTTTGGTCAAGTGTTTGCTATGAAATAAATTAGTTATGTATTGATCGAACAAATGTGGCACTAAAAATGAAGGTTAAAATGTCTAGATGCAATAAAATATGTCAATACAAACAGGAGCAATGCTTTGCTTCGGGATTAAATATAGATTAAAATAAACTATTGCTACTTCTAATACTATTACTACTAATAATTAGAAAATTACATAACCACTGAAACAGGAGGTAATTACTCTGAAGTAAAAGAACCCTTTAATTGTGTTTTGATGGGCTCACTGTAGTTTTAAGCAGCGTAGTGAAAGGTTGAGTTTGAAAATAGAATGGGAGGCAGCACTACTGAGAGACCTGGTAAAGACTATGAATAAATGACAAGGAGTCAGATGTCTTTACAGTGGCACTCCTGCTCAAGTGAGTATCAGGACATATCTTGCTGGCAGTACAACAGAAGCACATTTCATCATATTGGCTTTGTCAAAAACTGTTGTGAAAATACATTAGATGCAAGCTTTCTGCTATTCATAGATTTCAAAAAGTGAAAAGTGCTAATAAGCCAGGATTGTACACTGTAAAAGTCTGATGATTTCAAGTGACATGTTCCTGTACTTGTTTTGTCTGAATGAGCTGTAAAATAGGTGTGCAGGGCCAGAGGAAAAAAAAAAGTGCTGTGTGTTCTCTTATGCATGAATAACAGAAACAAAGGAAGAACATCTGGTTATCACGTCTAAAGGAAAATAAAGTGCTATTTATGGATTTCTGAAAATGAGTTTTGTAACAATAATCACTTCAGTCACCAGTAGTACCCCTCTTCTTTCTCTTTTGTACTAATAAAAATACCTCACACACCAGGTTAAAGTGTGCAAGGTTAGACATATTTTTAAGTGAAACAATGGCTTTCAAATCTTTTGAGTCTGACCGCAACCAGGTGGAATGCAAATGGCTTCTTGGAATGGCGAGTGCAGCTCAGAGTTGGCTGATGTTCACACCACAAGAACAGCACAGGGATGCCTGCGTGAGGGAGCAGAGCTAGACTGCAGTGTGGGGAGGCAGCCGGAGACAGCCTGCCAACTGCAGGGATTAAGGGGAGCTGTCAGATCAGCAGGCAGAGCTGTCAGGAAGTGGGGTTTGGAGCATTATAGGTGTAATGGCAATGAAGTAACCTAATCTGCCCAGCAGGGGGATTAGCAACTTCTTATGGTGCCAGAAAAGTGTTCTGTTTGTATTTATTATTAAATATAATACTGGTGTCTAATAATAATAATAATGTCAACAACTGTTTTACTGCAAAAACAAACAATTTTGCTAAACAATTGCTATTCTTACTTTAACAGTTAAATTGAAGGAGAGATTGATGGTGATGAGTGATCAGAAATGGGATAAAATGATATAGATAAAATGATTATGACATTTTTTTCAAGATGATGAAGAAGGAAGCAAGATTGCTTTTGATTTTTTTCTCCTTGAGATGAGTACTTCGCAGTCTTTGAGTTAGTATTGATCCCGGATAACCTAGAGAAATGTATTTTATCTGTTTGACACTTTATATTTTTAACTTACTGTGCACTGCAAAATTAGGACTGCATCATCTAAAAACTTTCCCTCACATTCTTTAAATCACGCACTCGACTGTGTTTTTGTGTGATCGGTAACTAAAAGATATTGGAAGGGAGCCTTGGTCTTCGTATGGTGATTTATATAGCTGGCATACTTGATTTATTGTTTGTAAAGGACAAAGAGAAAAAGAAAATCACTTGGTAAGACTTTAATAATAACGCCGTTTAACCTAGAACCGTCATCTGGGAAAATAATGGGTCAGACAGAACTGAGGTTGAGATATTAAAATGTACAGTTCTACGCTGCCTGAGCTGATGTGAAAATGTTAAACAATGCAGACCAAAGTGAGGAATCTGCATTAGGCAGAACTGTCATTGAACATACAGTAGCTGCCATAGAATATGGGGATTACTGTATATTAAACATCCATTGATTTTTTATATGTGGGAAATTGCCAACATCTTGAAAACATAGTGTCTGCACTCCAAGAATGCGTCATTTGACAAAAGACAATACGTAATATCTATGAGACAGGTTTTCTGCTTCAAACACAATGTAATGTTTAAAGATCCAAGACTGTACACTTGCATTTGTTTAGAAAATAATGGTCTTTGTACTGTATACAGTATACTGGAAGGTTATTAGCAAGACTGTATTGAGATAGCATGCTGGATGCAGAAGTTAGTTAAATTTTAGAAATGTTTTAAAACAAAAACAAACTTAAGAAAGTGTTTCCAAAATTCCCGTAATGTGTTTTGCAATATTTACTTTTTACACTAGCGATCATGTCCAAATGAAACATGCTAATGGCTACTGATGGCTTAGATATCAGTATGTGAGTAGTATA